CTCCAGACAAGACACCGATCCAGGTAATCGTCTTACGTCACTTTTGATTGGTTGACTGAGGATAAACAACAACCCAATGAAGGTGACGTGCAGATCATAGAAGCAGACTTTCATTTTTGCAACTCATCAGCTCTACTGAACCAACGGGTCATACAGATTTTTCCGGGGTTATCATCAAAACACCAAAGTCTGTTTTGGAAGAATGGTGGACCATCAAAGTAGTAATGTAACAAAGACAATGTAAAGGTTCATTCAAGCCATCTTGGTCTATATCAGGGGTGGGCAACTCCAGGCCTCGAGGGCCGGTGTCCTGCAGGTTTAGATGTGTCCGTGATCCAACACAGCTGGTTTAAAGGGCTAAATGACCTCAACATGTCCTGATGTTCTCCAGAGGCCTGGTAATGAACTAATCATGTGATTCAGGTGTGTTGACGCAGGGTGAGATCTAAAACCTGCAGGACACCAGCCATGGAGGCCTGGAGTTGCCTGTACTTTATATTGTCAGGTATAGGTCCTTATACAACAGGGGAGTTCTATAACCTATACCTGACAATATAAAGTGCCTGGTGGTAACTGTTGTGAATTATTAGCTTATAAAGTGGCAAAGCTACACTTAAGGCACTGGTCACATGAAGGGTTTATGGAATTATGAATATGAACATCAACTAAACTAGAGATTGTATGATGATGACACTATCCTATAAACATGGATAAATTACATGACATACAACTTTATAGACTGTGCTTAGATATCATCTTTTTGTAGCTGTTGGACCAGTTATTAGAGCAGCAGAAAGTCTGAAAGGCCAAGATTTGAACACTACTGGAACTCTGAACATATAAGATTTACTTCTTTACACGAATAAACGTAATAAATAAAATAAAAAAAGGCGCAACACAAATACTACTCCAAAGTCAACAGATTTATTTCCTTTAGCACTGAAGTTGTTCACAGTAACATCACAAGGGAATACATTGCAAATGGTTATCCTGCTCAGTAGTAGCGCTCAGTACCGAAGAGTCCATTCTGTGTGCTCTGGATTCCCACAGTAGAAAAAGAGGAAAGCGAATGATGAAAGGTATTGCTTTAATTTTTCTTTCTGACAACTCAACACACACCCAGATGGGCTGAGTGAGTGACCCAATTGCCAGCAAGGTCCCTCTTTGAGAGAATGAGTAAGGAGAATGCATTGCACGGTTACTGTGTGCACACAGTAATCAAAAAAGAGAAAGGACAGCAAATTAAATGAAAACGTAAAAAAACAAAAAGGCAAATTCAAATAAATGCACATAAAGAACTGAAACGTGTAGAGAAAAGGGGAAGAGGAGAACAATTCCAACGACAACATGCAAAGAAAAGACAAATGCTGAACATGCAAACAACCATACAAGGTCAAAGCTAAGAATAGGGATCCCCTTGTTTTTTTGTGGTTTTTTTTTCTTTTCTTTTTTAAATAAGCTTGCCAGTAAACTCGGCTTATTTACAGAATGAGTGTTTGGTGAGTTCTGAGCCGTCATACGCGCACGGGGCATGGGGAAAAGGACAGTTATCAACAAAGGGTTTGTTCCTCTCAAAGAGGCTAAAACTACATTCTTAAATTACAGTAAATTATTTTCCCAAACATATATTACAAGGTTTCTTGCATCAAAAACCAGGGAAAAGCAACAAACACACACAAATGTTTTCATTTCTCAGTGGTCAAATAAATTAAACATGACAAAAATATCCTTAAATAATCTGACATTAAGAAACATTCTCTACATCTTTCATATAAATAAACAATAATAAATTAAATAAAAAAATGACAAAATACAGCAAAGTACAAAAATATACACAGCAGTTCAATATTGTCTGAAACCTGCAGATAATCTAAAAGAACTTGGGGAATAAAAGAGAAAATTTAAAACATACTGAAATGGTGTAACTCAAGACAAATGTTCAAAGTGCAAAATAAAAAGGAGACGACTAAGCAAAAAGGCCTGGTCACACCAGCAAAATGTCCTGGGCAATGTTAACGGTCAACGCGCTAGCTAGCAAGAACTTGCTAGCGCTAAATCCAAGATGGCTTTTTGAGCATTTCTATTTTTTACCGTAATGGGCTCTTCCGTCTGAAGTGAGAAACTAAGTTTAGCTAGCAAGTCTGCAGCTAGCTAGCTAGCTCATTTAGATTACTATTCATGTACCTCACATTAACAAAGGTTGTTTTGCCGTTATCGCTAGCAGTTGCATTATTTCTTGACTCCCCACGACCTCGGTTGCAGGTCTCTTCCTGTATGTGAGCTCCATCTACTGTTACAATGAAACATTTCAAATGCTGGTGTGGCCGTGCCTGTTCGTGAATACAAAAGAAAATATGGCAAAAACTCTAAAACATAATGCCACTACTACACTTTTTGACATTAAGCAGGGACATAGTTTAGTCTGTACAACAGAATAGATCATTCATTTATATATTATTACCACCGCCAACCCTCTTTATCATACTTTTATGGGCAGTCTTTAATTGCAAGAACCCATGTACAGAAACACCACAGAGCGAGCTAAAAGAACCTGCTGCTCACAAAGAAATATGATTTTAAAAAGAATTACAATCCAGCCAGTGTTTGTTGATCCATCCGTCCACCTTTGCTTTCTTCCATCGCTCCTGCATCCCATCTCGATTTCAAGTTCATCACGCGAACAGGTTGTTTATGCCGAGGTGTATGTGTGGGTGCATTTTTTTATGTACATGTAGGAGAAATGGAAGAAAGAGGGAAGGGTATACATGTGTGCAGACTGACAAACGTCACTGTCTTAAGGCTTTTTTTCTTTTTCTTTTTACAAGTCTTCCAAGACGTGTCTGTGTTTGGTGTGGCGGGGTGAAGTGTACTCTACTGATGCGGCAGCAGGAAGAGACTCAAAGATATAGGGCGGGGGGAGTGGATTCAAGTGGGCTAGGGAAGTGGTCCTCAGTCTTTTCCAGTTTCAAACTCTCCTGGTGCTGGCAGGCCCAGCAGGCCGCTGTCAGCCGTCTCGCCAAGGTTAATAGTTATTATGGATGATCCCTGGTGGCAGAGACAAGTCAAGCCATCACACATGTGAGGAGGACACAGAGAGGGACACAAGGTAGGGACGACGAAGCTACATCTGCTACTTATTGTAAAATACTGATCGACTTTTAAACTGAAATAGCCATTCCCATTATTAAGTACAAAATTTATAGGCAAAAAGTAGATCTTCTTGTTTTATTCTTAGCTAAAGGGCAAAGTTAGCAGCTCTCCTAATTTCTCTTATTTAATGACCTGATTACTGCTTTCATCTAGTCATGCACAGCTACGGCTCCTTAAGGTTGTTCCTGTGTCCTGCTGCTGGCAGCCATCTTTGTTTTGTCTTTGCCAGGGGGGCATTTAGAGTCATTAGGTGGGGGCTGGTTGGGCTTGCTGCTGGGGGTATGCTTGGTGGGGGAGCTAGGCGTGGCGCCGGGGGAGTGGGACGCTTGGATGTTCTTCTCGTCTGAAAAAAGCTGTTTAATTACGTCAAAGAAGTTACTCAACGGGCTGCCTACACAGACGGGAAGAAAAGAAAAAAGAGAAAGAGAGAGAGAGAGAACAAACAACAAATGAGCAATGGGGTTAACATGAGGAGAGGAAGAGGACGTGATGGAGGAATGAGAGGAGTGGAGCTAGGAAAGGAGACTCTTACGACCGAGACAACTGAAGTCAGAGCTTTTGTTTTTAGGCCAGACGAAGAAGAGGTGGCACCAAAACGACACTGGTTGTATCAGGACTTCCATCACTTTTACTGCGAGAGGTTTTTTTTGGTCTCTGAGTCTCAGTTTCCCTGCAACATGGAGAACCAACAGGAGCACTGGAAGACATTTCGAATCTTACCATCAGAACCGCGCCACCAAATCTCAGCTGACACCGCAGAGGGAAGAGATTTTAAACCTGACGGATACCTGGGTTCAGCTTTTGGTTTCAACAGCTAGCCTAGAGGCAGATTTCTTACGGGGTTTTTAGAGGGATCAGTAAATTGAAGTCTTTGTTAAAAATAAATAAATGACTAAAAACCCAGGACTCAGTGTTTCCTGTAAAACCATAGTACAACTATGAAGCTGTAAGAGAAAAACCAATAGGAACATATGGCTTAAAAGTTCACTTTTTTGCTTCACTGCTGCACACAAGAATGATTCCAAATGGTATCATTTGTGCTTTTTAAACAGCGTTCAATTACATTTTCATAAACCACCAACACATAGACTGCCACCCTCAACAGATGGTAAATTTGTTGAGGGTGGCAGCCCACAAACATTAAAAAATATGACTTCACAGCACAAACGGCTCAAGAACGTATGTCGACAAACCGAAGATCGCAGTGGCTGTGTCTAATAACATGTTTTTGATAAAAACGCTTAGTCAGCCTGTCGTAACAGGCGTTGAGCCTGCATTAGTTTCTAATTTTGTTAATGCAGCATTAACGTGTTATTTAATAAAAGCCACCGTCTGTACTGTAGATGATCAAATAACTGGTTTATTGTGACAGTGAAAAATAAAAAAATGTCCCGATTCTCAGCAGATTCTAGAGATACAGACTCTAAGAGCACTCTTAGTCTTCCACATCTTCCCTGCAACAGAGTAAAAATAGGACAGCATCCTCCTTGTAAATAGAGGAGATTAAAATAGAAATTGGTGGTTTTCCCTACATTGATTTTTTTCACATTTGGTGACTGACTGCAAGTAGCTGAAACAAGCACAGTGTTTACACAGGACAGCTGGTGAGGGAACGTCTGCAAACTGTCCCCTAATTTACAAAAGCAAATTACAATCAATCAGAGTTGGTTTGTGCCGATGACTGCAGCTTCTCTTAGAAGCATCTCGTCAGACATGACTCAGCTGTTTGCATCCTGGTTATATTTCTATATGAAGACAAGGTTGCTGAGTGACTTTGTCATTCTGCAGTTAAATCGCTGTCCTGCAGCAACTACATCAGGAATTTCTGTTTAGATCTCTGAGCTTCTGGCTGGACTCGAATCAGTTAGTATACATTTCTGTCTATTTAGAATGGCAACAGATCTTTACCAGTTTATTCATCTGTCTATGAATGGCTGCAGAAGTGGCAACAATGAGCACACAATCACAATAATCATGATAACTGTGCTGCAGTCTCTAACCATTGTTTTCTATTGTGTTACTTTTGCATTGAGCAGTGAAATAAAGGGCGGTAAACCATGTCAGTGCAAATGTCTTCCAAAGCTCCAGTTAACTCACCATTATACCAACATCCATCACAACAACATTTGATAAGTCTTTTTGATCAGTGCTTTTAAACAGCAACGAATGAATAAAACATGCAACAATACAGCACGGTGCACACATTAATACACATTACAGGGTTAGTTTAAAACGGTACATCCTTCAGTGAGCGTCTCTTGGTGTTGGTTTTGAATGTGCGTGAAGAGTGAAGGCGTGTCCTGAGAACTTACCATCGTCCGCCTCTGACAACACGCACACACGTGTTCCATTTGTGTCTGATCTTTTGTTCAAGTGCGGTTAAATATGGAAAGTTATAGAGGAAGGGTGAACAACCTGGTATCAAGCATTATCATGCAAAGGCTTAATCAGGCTAGTAAAGCCCCAATGCCAACCTCCAACCCCAAACACAGAAATATAGTCATCGTATCAAGTCATTGTGTTCCCTAACTCAGCCAAAACTACCGTGGAAACATCACTGACACTACATAGCCCAGTAACTTTGACCAACTGGGCCAATTAGTGGGCCCCACTACATTTAAAATAATCTTTTACATAAAGAAAGATGCCCATTGCCCCCAAGACTGGAGAATTCACTGCCTTCCATCATAGTCCTTATGAAATCATAAACTGGATGTCTCTGTGTTTAGAAAGCTTAATGGTCAGTCTGTGTGGCTTTTGAACAAATTATTTTTTATTGTCCGTCAATAAAAAAAGTTGTTAAACACTAATAATGAGGCCCTTTTAGATTTGTCAGGTGAAAACATTTTTAATAGTGCTGTCAGCGTTAATCTCATTAAAATGACGTTAACGCCAAATCCGCATTAACGCGGCAAATCTACGTTAGCGAGTTAGCGTGTATTGCCCCGTGCGTGGGGCTGGACGGGGCTATCGCATTAACGAGCTAACTGCACTAACGCGTTGATGTCGTGCAGCCCCACGCACTAACTCGCTAACGTAACGCGTTGATGCGGTTATGGCGTTAACGTCATTTTAATGAGATTAACGCTGACAGCACTAATTTTTAACACACTGCTGTCATATCACACGTTGTTTTCTTATTGTTCATGACTTTCATCAGTCAACAAAAACTCCAGATGATTTTGTCACAGATGCATATTTTTTTGTTTCAGGATGATATATTCATCAAATTAAAGAAAATTTTAAAAAGAAAGAATAAGCGGCTACATGAGCATTATCATTCTGGCACAAACTGAAAGTATTTGAATCCAATTTTTAGAAATAATTTCTATACCTTGCTTAATCCTCTTTTTACGATGATTTTTTGGCCTTTATTGGATTCGGACAGTGAAGACAGACAGAAAAACCGGGAGAGAGGACATGCAGCGGATCGGACTCGAGCTCAGGATCTCCGGCCATACGGTCGCCTGCTCACCCACTGAGATAAACCTGCGCCCAGACTCACTTAGTCCTAGCTGAAAAGCTAAAACTGACGAGCTAAAATGAGCCATAAGAAATATTAGTTAATTACATTTTTTTTAAATGTTCCTATTCAAAGAGCATTATTAAAATCCAATAAAACTTAAACACGCCTCTGTTACTGACACTGGTGGAGCTGGGGTCAGAAATTGGCTCAGTATGTTGATGCATCATATTGGTTTTGTTTGATTAAAAGAAGTCACTGAGTTGCGCACATTCTGGGCATGTTTTTTTAAAGAGACCAAATTTCAAAAGCCCTCATCAACACTAATGTTTGTCTCAGAATAAACAACTGGAAAAATGAAGAGGTGCCTCTAAGAAACTCTCCTGTGGATTTAAATCATCAGTTTCTTGTTGTAAAAAACCCCAAAAGCCAAGGGCGTAGATTTGGTTTTGGGATGATTCAACCACCGAACTCTGCACCGTTTCTTTCTTTTTTCCTTTTTGTCTTTGCTTCTTGATAAAAAAAGGAGAAATATACTACCCTGCATATGCTATTCTACATGCTTTTAAACCATTTAAAATTACAATTCATAGTTTTATATGTGAATTATAATGTTAAATTACTATTAAACAAATGACTGACTAAGTATTTTAGACTTTAGTTTACTTCAGCCATATATGTAAATATACAAAAAACTTGAATTTTACAATGTTTATTGGATAAATTAAGTTACACGTCACTGTTATTATTGTCCGGCCGGAAACAGGCCGGGGGTGTCCAAATTCAGAGGCTGCGTCTTCCTGAGGACCAGGTGTTGTGCCAAAAAGTGATTGTCTGCCAAAAAATGAGTTCTGGTATTTGCCAAAAACTGATCGCTTGTATTTAAACTGCTATAAATAACTTGTTGGTCTATAATATGTGAAACACATGTCAAATGTATCCCTCATGAATGATATCACGTCATCTTGAGCAACAAACAACATTCCTGTAACAAGGTAGAAGCCGCAATCAGTTTTTGGCAGTGACTTTTATGTATCCTTTATTTATGCAGTTAAAAAAATTATTGTTGGCTTTAAAAATGTCTCTTTTAAGAGTAATCTGGCGAAGACGACAGCTGAAATTGCAACAAATGCAAAAAATAGTTCTGTAAACATATTTTAAGTGGACAAAAGGAAGCTGATTGATTATAATGTAAGTACAATAACACAGTTACAAAAATACTTGAGAAACAGGTAATTTTGTAATTTTATATATAACCCCTTTGTAATACCTGTTCACCAAAGTCTATTTAGCAGCATACGTAAC